AAAAAATCACCCAAAACATGTCTTACTTTCACAAAAAAATGCAAAAAAATAAAGATTCCCAAAAATGCCTATAAATGCAAGTTTATGCCGCAAAACATGCTGACAAGTGAATCGTTTGTGCCAGTTTCGCATGTTTTGTGGTCAGATGGTGAAATAATGTGAAAGTTGTTTTAATAAAGTTTTACCTTTTCTGCATGTTTCTCATCAAAATATAACGTTTTGAAAAAAGAAATTTAGAAAAAAAACGTTTTTGAATTTAAAAAAAAACATTTTGGTCTGATCTTTGATGAAAATCTTTGAAAGAAATACAAAAAATAAAAATGTCTATAAAATCATAGCATGTAATTTGTGGTCAGATGTTGAAAAATTATGATGAAAACCATATTATGATCACCATCATCAAACTTTTTTTTGAAAATTTAGATTTTTCTGTGCAATTGTCATCAAAGTAGAGCATTTTGAGAAATTTTAGATGGACAGGTAGGTATTTTTTGATATTTTTACATCTAAAATGACATTTTAATAAATCAATGCTGCTTTCACACCGTTCTGGTCATAGCAGCTCGGGAAGACACACTGGTGTGTGTGTGTGTTCTCTACAAATGTAATGCTGAAGTCGAGTTAATTAAAAATGCATTCAAACAAGATGATCATATTCATTGGGCACCATCCTCCCTTTAATCTTTTCCAATTCAGCACAGTAGCTGCCTTAAACCGCACTTTCAGCTCAAATTCTGATATATCTTAAATCCACATTACATGTTTATTCAATGCATTTCATTCATCATTAAAATGATTAAAAACAACAGTAGTATTGGCAGTGGGCCAGACATCAAGGTTTTTTTCTAAACCTGCTCTGTATTGGTATCGTATTTGTATTGGCACCTACTATCACTACCAACACCTGTGAATTTTTATTAAGTTGAGATGTTATTCAGTTCTTAGAGCAAGCAGTTCAAAGTGTAGGTTATGTTCCCTTCTGTGTGACAACAGGCTGGGCATCTGGAAAATGTTGTCAGTGAAAAAAACTAAACAAACATTTTCTTCTTACTTTAATCTCACAGTGTTAAAGAAAATCTGACTTCATTCCTCCGAAAACAACTGTGGGAGAAACAAGAATCTGCAAAGAGCAAGACTAAGTGTTTTACACATTCAAGGTAATTACAGCAGTTTAAGGCATAAATAAACACAACAAGACTGTTACTA